GTTGAGTCCTGTATGCCTTGCATTTTCTTTAATCTAATACTAGATACTTTGACAATATATTACGTGGGCTTCACCCCCTGTTCAATGAGTCTGACCTGATCATGCAGTGAGGGATAATGCCGTTGGTGCTGTGGCAAAGATGATTATGGTGCACCCTGAGTCTATTCCTTTAAATCAGGTGGTTTCCTGCTTAATTTGTATCATTCTCGCTCAATTAAATATGAATTTATAAACTTATAACATGTTGCACCTCTAATTTTGTTGTTTGTACTTGATAACTATTTTCTAATTGGATGTTGTATATGTATGTCTTGGTTCCATTTTACAGGTCCTTCCTGTTTTCTTGAGAGTTCTTCCATTAAAAGAAGACCACGAGGAGTCCATGGCTGTCTATAGAACAGTCAGTCTCACTACAAGAAAAATAATATTTTGTGACACATAGGTTGCGACAGTTCCATAAAAATTGTCGTCATATGTAAGTTACAAACATATTTTATGTGTATATGGAGGTTGATAATTCATTTTCTTAGGCTATAGTATTCAAATTCTGTGTTTTTGGTTCAAGCTATCTTGGTTGAGTTAATATGCTCATAATATTTTTTCTTCAATCTGTTGCAGTGAGAAGAGAAATTAAAATTTTAAGATTGTTCATGCATCATCACATTATACGTCTTTATGAGGTTGTGGAAACCCCATCAGACATTTATGTGGTGATGGAATATGTGAAATCTGGAGAGCTCTTCGATTACATCGTAGAAAAGGGTAGGTTGAAAGAAGATGAAGCCCACAGTTTCTTCCAGCAGGTATAATTTCTTATGTTATGTGTACTTGAGAAGCTTATACCTGACACAATATTTTAGCTAACTTCTGCTTTGGAAGCAGATAATCTCTGGTGTGGAGTACCGTCACAGGAATATGGTAGTTCATAGAGACCTGAAACCTGAGAATTTACTTTTGGACCCAAAATGGAGTGTCAAGATTGCTGATTTTGGTTTGAGAAACATCATGTGTGATGGCCACTTTCTCAAGACAAGTTGTGGAAGCCCTAACTATGTTGCTCCAGAGGTTTGTATATCTATGGATTTTAAATTTGTAGTTAAATAAGTTATTGTTGTTGACGTTGCTCATTTTCATACTTTATACATTTTCATAACTTACATTTCATCATGATTCATACTTCTTGGTAAAACTGTTATATTTTGCACAGGTTATCTCAGGGAAATTATATGCTGGACCTGAAGTAGATGTTTGGAGCTGCGGTGTAATTTTATACGCACTTCTCTGCGACACTCTACCTTTTGATGATGAAAATATTCCCAACCTCTTCAAAAAAATAAATAAAGGTAGAGTCTCATTTTTGTTTTTGTGGGATTGTAAGGACTAGTAGATATTTCTTACTCACCACTGTCAAGTCATATTTTTTGGAATTTGGGTTTAGGCCTAACTCATCGCCTAAAGCTAGCTCATTGGGTGAGGATTGTCCCAACTCCCAATTTATAACCATTCTTCATGCTGTATCACTATCCAATGTAGCTCTTTAGAATATTATTTTCTTACTGGTTTTGAGCTTGGCATTTTCCATGTGCTGATGGAGAGTTGTAATTCGGCCTGATATTAATAATTTTTGTCAATTCAAACCCTTTAAAGGTGATCTTTTGTTCTTCAATCTGTTATTTTCTTGCTCACAAACAATTGTTCGTTTCTTCTTCCTAATTTTTAGTAGTTATAACTTATATCTTTAAATAGTGCATCCCTTATGCGTGGAATTTCAACTGATACTCTCATTGAAGAATTTGGCAAGGCAAAAAAATTGCCTGTTAATGCTCAAAGTGAACTCACAAATTATGTGTTAATTTTTAGTAGTTATAACTTATATCTTTAAATAATGCATCCCTTGTCCAGATGTAATTCTGTTTGATTTTTTTTTACAATAATTTTGTTTGATATTGTTTTGTCAGAATCTGTGATATTCTAAGCATATAGTCGTGCATGTCAATGATCGTATACTCCAAGTAAATTATGTACTTATGATTTATTGTCTGTTTAGGAACTCTGGCAAAGTACACTGCTGGTCATGTGTATTACTATCCAGCTTTCCAATCATCTATTCATGGGGAGAAATTGAGACATGAATTAAGAAGAGACCTCACTAGAGAGACTGCATGGGAAGCTGTAATGCGTGTTAGATGTGGAAAAGGTTTGTGCATTCGTTATGTCTTGGATATGTACCTTCCTTGCCTCCTTTTGTTTATCTTCGGTTTTATACGATGTGTATATAAAATTAAACATATATGATTGAACATACACACTTACAAATACAATTGCTAATAAGTGTCCATGCTTCTAGGTGTCCGTTTCACAACTTATCATGGAAACTTCATGCTAAAGTCCACGGATTTGTTGGCACTTCCAGCTGTAGATTGTGATAAAGCCTTTTCCATGCAGTTAACACTTGAAGAGACATTATTGACAACTCAAACAGTTTACGTTCAAGTTGCATTGCTGTATCCTTTCTTCAATAGTTCATAAGATGAGTTCTAATATTCAGGAGCTTTATTTCTATAGACAATGTTGAATCATATGTTTTGTGATACTATTATTCAAAAAGGAAAACACAATATCATTCTTTGAATATAAGATAAAAGGATTTTGTACTTTTGAATCTTTCCTAGAAAGTACATTTTCTTAATATTTCCTTTTTTCGTTTTTTTTTGTCAGACCATTCAGCTCATCTTTATCATGCTTTGGTTTTACTATTTCTCCTCCACTGTTTAGCATTTGTCTGAATGTCTATCATGGTTGATATTTCGCTAACTTTTGTTAGTAGGATATTTAGAATGTGAGTTTAAAAAAAGAAAAAAGTTTCTTCCCTAACAACAAAATAGTTACACTGCTTCTTGTGGAGAAAGGCGTATAAGAGTATACACGATGGCACTGCCGGTAGTTACAGATTTGGATGATATCTATCACTTGGCTGATACTGGTGCAATCGTATCTCTGTTTAGTAGGTTAGGTTGGATCAAAGGACTTCTAGACTCTTGTTCTAGTAGTGACATCATAGGTGATAAATATGTGTGTTTCTATCTTATACAGTTTTGTCATATTTGTAGCAATTGAGAAAACATTGTCCCATAAACTGGAAGATACACGGAGTGTGTTGCAACTGAGAATTGTGAAAACCCTGAAGGAGTATCAGAATATTTATGATGTGCATCATCGCTCGACCAACAGAATGATATATCCTGAGTCTTTAAATTTCCTAATGTTGTATGGATTAGCTCTTTGTAGATCAATTGCTCTACACGGAGGGTATGGTGATGTTCCACTGGATGAACGATGTGCAGCAGGACATACAATGATGGCTCATCCTATAAAAAGATTGTTGAAACTTCTCTATCCTAGCTTGATTCGACTTGTATAATAGGTGAAATACCAAAGATATCTGGTAACTTGAAGGTGTGTGGAACAAAGGCTTATGTTGCTCAATCACCATGGATTCAAAGTGGAAGGATAGAAGATAACATACTATTTGGGAGGGAGATGGATAGGGAAAAGTATGAGAGGGTGCTAGAAGCATGTTCTTTGAAGAAAGATTTAAAGGTTCTACCATTTGGTGATCAGACCATTATTGGAGAAAAAGGAATCAATTTGAGTGGTGGACAGAAGCAAAGAGTACAAATAATGCGTGCTCTTTATCAAGATGCTGATATATATCTTCTCGATGATCCCTTTAGTGCAGTTGATGCTCATACAGGATCCCATCTTTTTAAGGTGCTATTTTCTAAAGTCTCTTGCTTTTACTACAATCTATTTTGTTATGCATTTTGATGGAAAGGTTTGTATCTTACTGTACATTTACTACTACTGTAATGTTTCATGAGTGTTTTCTTGGCCTTTTAAAAACAAAAAGTGTGATATACATAACACATCAAGTAGAGTTCTTACCTGACGCTGATCTGATACTTGTGAGTGATTTATATATTTCAGCATTCTCCTTAATTGAAAGTTTCAAACATTATAGATTACCATTTCTATGTATTTTTCTCTTTCTTACAATTCATCTAGGTCATGAAAGAAGGAAGGATAACTCAATCGGGAAAATACAATGACATTCTTAAGTCATGAACTGATTTTATGAAACTTGTAGGCGCACATAGAGCAACATTGTCTTCAGTTAAGTATTTAGAGAGAGGGCCTACATTTAAATCATCGAGTATTACCGGAGAAGACACAAGTTCATTAAGCGATTTTGAACTTGAGTAAGAAGTGGAAAACATAAATGATCAAAACAACAAGTTAGATGAATCATTTGTGCCGAAAGGCCAACTTGTTCAAGACGAAGAACGTGAAAAGGGTAGTGTTGGGTTTAAAGTGTTTTGGAAATACATAACAATAGCTTATGGAGGAGCTCTTGTACCTTTCCTATTCCTTTCACACATACTCACAGTGGTTTTACAAATTGCAAGCAACTATTGGATGGCTTTGGCAACTCCTATTTCAGCAACTGCATAACCTGTTATTAGAAGCTTTACTCTGATGCTTGTCTATGTTTCTTTGGCAATTGGAATTTCCTTTTCCACCCTTGTTAGAGCATTTCTTGCTGCGATAGTTGGATACAAGACTGCAACCATGCTCTTCAATCAAATGCATTTGAGCTTCATTCAAGCGCCAATGTCATTTTTTGACTCCACCCCAAGTGGAAGAATTCTAAATAGAGTATGTCATAACATGCCAATAATTCTTCACTGGTTTATTTTAAAGAAACTAGTTGTTTACCTCATCATTGCGGAAACAGATTTGCTGCAGTAAATTCATGATGTAGTTACTAATATTGACAGTCTGATTTAAATCAATGGCCAAGATTGTTAAAATTTGATTTAGTGAATGTAATAACCGGAGTTGTTCGATCTAAAATTTGATTTTACTGTGTGAAACTGTTTAATATTATTATTGCAAAGAACATAAAGTTCTGTAGTTATCTATATCAGTTGGTGCTCTTTATGAACTCCATTATTTGCCCATTCGTAGAGAGGCTCCTGCTTTTGTTGAGCAAGCAACTGAACAGCAGATCCTTGTTACTGGTATCAAGGTATTTTTCGTTTGCTAGCGACTTCCTTTTTTTTTTTTTTTTTTTTTTTTTTTTTTTTTTTTAATTTATTTTATTTGTGGTGAATGCATCAACCTCATATCCTTAAATGTTCAATTACACAAATTTGCATATATTTCTTCATATAGGTTGTTGATCTGCTTGCACCATACCAAAGGAGGAAAGATCGGGTTGTTTGGTGGTGCTGGTGTAGGAAAAACTGTGCTTATCATGGAACTTATCAACAATGTTGCCAAGGCTCATGGTATATAGCTTAATGTTTCTGCACCTAATTTATTCTTATTGAGAGGCTATTTTTCTGTAATGTTACTATTTCCATTTGTTAGGTGGTTTCTCTGTTTTTGCGGGTGTTGGAGAAAGAACTTGAGAGGGGAATGATTTGTACAAAGAAATGATTGAGAGTGGTTTCATTAAGTTGGATGATAAGCAGGTTAACACAATATTGTTCATCATACACAATAAACAATAATCCTAATATTTTCCCATTGCAAAGTTGTCAACTATGGTTTGTTTCATGAATTCAGAGTGAAAGCAAATGTGCTCTTGTGTATGGTCAAATGAACGAGCCACCTGGTTCTCATGCTCGTGTTGGACTTACTGGACTCACTGTCGCTGAACACTTCCGTGATGCTGAAGGACAGGATGTGCGTCTTTTCATTGACAACATTTTCCGCTTTACTCAAGTATGGACAAGTTATCTACTCTAAGATATCTTCTATATCTCAATTGATATTCATAACATGACATATAATGCATGATGCATTTGCAGGCAAACTCAGAGGTGTTTGCTTTGGTTGGTCGTATCCCATCTGTTGTTGGTTACCAACCAACATTGCTCTTCTGTCCGGTGCTTTGAATGCACCGATGATTTTTACCGGCCACTCACTTGGTCGAGATAAGTTGGAACAACTTTTAAAGCAAGGCCGGTTATCAAGTGATGAAATAAACTTAACTTACAAGATCATGCGTAGGATAGAAGCTGAAGAATTAGCCCTTGATGGTACTGAAATTGTCATAACAAGCACTAGACAGGAAATAGAAGAACAATGGTGCTTGTATAATGGTTTTGATCCATTAGTCTGTCTTTATTTTGAACTAAGTAATTTATAGCTGGCTAGAGGTAAAACATCATTTTGATATTGATATACATTAGCAATTTGTATTGACTATTGAGAGATAGTAAGTTCATTTTTCTCGTTTGGTTACTTATTTTGAGTCTTTTTAACCTGACACTTGAAGCACAACGTCTTGCTACTTAGTTTTTACTTGATAGGGTTATCCATGAATGAATTATCTATTTTTTACTTTTTATTTTCATTTTATTTTGACTTGGGATGAGACCTAGAGTTTTGTTTTCAAATATTGGTATGGCTTTCTAGTTTGTTTAGGAACATAATAGCTTTATTTTATATGTGTGAATATATTGCCATTAATGTAACCACATAATTTCAATAAATTATAATTTAGTACAAGCCCGTTGTACATATTATTTCAAACATTGTGTCCAACCACTATTTCAATAAATTAATGGAATTTCTAGGTCAAAAGGAAAAATAGTCATTTTACAAAAAATGGTACTTCATTCATTTCATAATGGAATTCCTTATCCTTTTGAGATTAAAAAAGATATACGGGAAACTACTTAGACCTAACCTATAGAGTTATGGGAAAAAAAGCTAATGTGGTATTTAAGTGATGCAAGGGCATTTAGGAAATTTCACATGCTTTAAGTGAAGGGGGAAAACGGCCTTTTGGCATTGGTATTATACAGGTGGCTTTCTCTCTAGAAGAAAATAATTCTTCCTCCATCCTCACCATTTCTCTTTTCTTGTCCACTGTTTATCCCCCTTTATCCACATTCCTCCATAATACTCATCAAATAATTAAATGAAATCAAGCAAGATTTAGATAAGATTAAGTGGATGCTATTGGCAAGAATGAGAAATTCAATTGATCATCTTGCATGTTTTAGAAAAGAGGTTTTTGATCACTCAAATGGAGAAGGTTCATCTCATCATCATTAGATTTTTTAAGGTGAGTTTCCTCTCCCTTACGCTATGATTATTGCCAAGAACACCAACTTAGGTCATGCATGTGGTAGTGAATCTTTTGAGTTCCCTAATTGATGAGTATGTGTTAGCATTTAGGAATTGATTGCTTGAAATGCTAATAAATTGATATAAATTCCATATGGTTTTTGTCGTGGAAATGTTATTTTCTGGTTTGATGTCTTGTTGAGTCGATTCAAAAAGGGTTAGAATTAGATCATAAAATATTTCAATCGATTGATTCAGGAGAGTTACCTAGCGAAAGGTTTATAGAGGATGTTGGTGTCACCATGTGCAATGTGCAATGTTAGATGACATGCTCAGATAAGCACAAGGCAGTGAACTCATAGTCATTGTGAATCTGACCTATGATATAAGGGAGTCGTGTGAGTGATGCATGTACATCTCAGACCAATGTCTTTTGTTTTTATTTATTTAAATTCTAGAAAATCATAATATATACCATAATGTATATGCAACCATTGAAGTCATATTTGCTTTTCTATTTTTTGGTATTTCTAGTTTATTTTTTAAAGCATATACATGCATAATATTTTGCTCCTATTATTTTTAAATATAAGGAATGGTATTTTAATTAATAAATTATTTCAAATACTTATTTTATTTTCTTAATTTAAATATAAAACATTTTAAATAGCATAAATTTAAATGTAATATTGTGTCTAGTTTTCTAACTTCGAATTTTTCACCCAAATAACCATCTTTCCACACAAATATTTCCAATCTACCCATCATTCCAATTTATTATCCAATCTACCCTAGTTTGGGTTTTTTTTTAATTTTTTTTACAAGGGGGCGCCATGGGGGATGGAGCCTCCCTTATAACTTGTATGGGGGCGCCATGGGGGATGGAGCCTCCCTTATAACTTGTATGGGGGCGCCATGGGGGTTGGAGCCACCCTACAAATTATAAAGGGGGCGCCATACCCATTGGAGCCTCCCTTAAACGAAAATTAAAAAATATTTTTAATGTTTAATTAATTTAAAAATATTAAATAAATAATTTTTAATAAATTAAATTTTTTTTAAAAATAATAATTTTGTAAATAAATAATAATAATTAGTATTTTCATATTTTTAACAATTTATAAATAAATAATAATTAATATTTTCATTGAAATAAATTCTAAACAACAAATAAAAATTAATTTGAATTAAATAAGTTTAATCACATACAAATGGCTACATTTGAAAGATCTTGTACACTAATTTCTACGACTCGGTCGATTTAAATGTCCGCCTGTACCGCATCCTCGATTACGCACGTTTCTTGGTGGTCTTTGTGGTGGAGTCGGGTCCACTGTGTCGTCATCAAGCATTTGCATCACTTCGGCCCATGCAGACAGATTCATATCCGTTAAGTCATCCAAATCAAAAGAGTGGGATGGGTGTAAATGATTGGGTGGGTATTGGTTGATTGGGTGTTTGAAACTGGGAGTATGTGTGGTATTGTGGTGAATGTTGTTGGTATTCGGATTGTGAATGAGTTTGTGTGAATGAAGTGAATTGGTTAGGAGTATGTTCATATGGCTGTGATTGCGTGAGTGGGGGTTGGAAATAGGGTTGGGTTGGGGGTTGGAAATGGGGTTGGGATGGCGGTTGGAAATAGTATTGGGTTGATGGTTGGCATTGAGGTTGGGTTGGCGGTTGGAAATAGGGCTGGGTTGGTTGTTGGGGCCTTGATGATGAATCTTGTTGGCGTGGGTCATTAAGATACCTTGGATGTGAAATGAAACCAATTGATACAGACTTATACCAAGTCATGTATTGTATAGATTGTTTCATCTCGTATGGAAACACATTGTCGGACAAAACATAGTTGGTGCGATGCCTCCATTCACGACACTCGTGTTTTGCATACTTGGTCCACGGATTATATTCCCATTGATCGGAGACTTTACCGTTGTGATATTTGTCTGGTATGCACTTTGGGGGACATGGAATATCTTGAAGCATTCCAAATTGAAGTTTCACACGATCACTGTTGTGCATTTCGACGGTGGTGAAGTTGATAATGGGCACCTTTGCACTCCACACCGCAGAATCTTGTCGTTCAACTTGATGAAATGCTTCTAGACCAAGATACGGCCGCCAAATGAACTGAAGGATGAAAAAAAAAAGTTTAGTATTTTCTAATAATATTCAAGGAGAGTATAACATTAATAGGTAGGTGAGAGAGTTTACATCTTCTTGCGCCAAGTGATCAATATGATTGCGGTACTGCGTTATACTGAAGTGGGGACAATTGTCATAATTCATTCCAAGCGAAGACCACCTACAAATCGAAAACAATAAAATTTATTAATAATATGCTTAATAAATAAAACACTTTGATAGATGAATGAGAATTGGAAAAAATAATTACCTTCTAGTGAATGGGAATTCAAACTGATTTTGTTGGATAGGTGCTAGATTGGTCATTCTTGACCAACCCCAAGATTGTAGAAGAACACCACATCCGGTCCAATTTCCGGTATTGGCTATTGAGTTATGACATAAAGAATGATATAGGTGCGCTAGTGTAGCGGACCCCCAACTATATTGTTTTATTTTATCTACGTCATCTAATAAAGGTAAGTACATAGAGTGAACGACGCTTCCACTTGTATCCGGACATAAAAATAACCCTATTAATAGCATTATATAAATTCGGGTTTTTCTAATTTTTAGAATTTCAGGAGAATCGGGGGTTAATGTCAATTCTCTATAAATTTTTTTGAGCCATGACATTAAAAGTTTTTGTCCCCTCAAATCTCGTGGGGTTGGTTCAACCCCCAAGAGTTCTCTTATGAAATCACCGGTAGGATTGGTTTTACCGTTAACCGCCTTACCATGAATGGGTAAACCCAATAACATGTATGTGTCCTCGAGTGTAACCGCACATTCACCTATTGGAAGATGAAATGTGTGCGTCTCGGGTCGCCACCTTTCTTGCAAAGCCAAAATAAATTTAGAATCAATGAGAGAATTTGTTATCTTAACGACCTCTCCAAAACCTGCTCGCTCCAAAAAAGGTTGAATCAACGGATCATGTGGGAAATATTTATGCCCACGAGTACGAAATTCATGAGTATCCTACAAAAAAAATAAAACATATCATTAGAACATTGTATTTGTTACAAAAAAAAATAAAACATGTCATTAGAACATGCCCACGAGGATGAATTCTTACACATGTCCTACTGCATGCATGCATAAAGTAACTTCTTTTACACGTGTCACAGGGGCTCCATCCCCCACGGCGCCCCCCTTGTAACTTAAAGAAGGGGCTCCATCCCCCACGGCGCCCCCCTTATAACTTAAAGAAGGGGCTCCATCCCCCACGGCGCCCCCCTTATATGTTTTAATAATATTTAATTCGTGGGATTTTAATATATATGTATACATTCAAGCAAAAGATAGTATACATCCCTTAAGCTATCATTCAACCATGTCTAGAACATCCAATTACATTGTTCATGCCCATTATAATGGAGAGACTTTCATCTCTGAGAATTCCGGTTTCGGGTTTCAAAATACTGATCTTACCCGATTAACCATGAGTAGAAAAGCAAATTTTGTGCATTTCAAAGAGCGCATACAATCGAAGATTTTGTCTGGTCAAATCTCCCAGATCATTTACAGAAGTCCTGTTTTTTTTTATAACAATGAGGTCAAGTATTTTCAAGAGAAAATACTTGACAACAGCGATGTTGATCAAATGTTCGATAGTCACAAACAATCTGGCCTCGACTATATCGAGGTTTATCTGTTACTCTGCCAAACTGAACATGAGGTTGGTGAAACA